TTTGCATGGAAAATTTTTTTCCATTCCTTCACTCTCATCCTGTGTATGTCTTTTGTAGACAGCATATATTTGGGTCATGTTTTCTTATCCATTTAGACACCCTATGTTTTTTTATTGGAGCATTTAATCCATTTACATTTAAAGTTATTATTTAAAGATACTTATCTATTGCCATTTTAATTCTTCATGCCTAGGTCTCTCTCTCTATTTCTACTTCTAATTACAGCAGTCCCTTTAACATTTCCTGCAATGCTGGTTTGGTGGTGATAAACTCCTTTAGCCCCCCCTTTTTTTTTGTCTGGGAAGCTCTTTATTTCACCACCTATCTTGAATGATAGTCTTGCTGGATGGATTAGTCTTGGTTTCAGATCCTTGTTTTGCATTACCTTGAATACTTCATGCCATTCCCTTCTGGCCTGTAAAGTTTCTGATGAGAAGTCAGCTGACAGCCTTATGGGAGCTCCTTTGTAAGACATAGATTGCTTTTCGCTTGCTGCCTTTAAGATTCTCTCTTTGTCTTGAATTCTTGACATTTTATTTATGATGTGTCCAGGCATGGGCCTCTTTGGATTCTTCTTGCTTGGAACTTTGCACCTCCTGAACTTGTGTGACGTTTTTCTTCACCAGGTTAGGGAAGTTTTCTGCCATCATTTCTTCAAACAAGTTCTCTAACCCTTGCTTACTTTCAACCTCTTCTGTCACTCCTATAATGAGAATATTGTTACATTTCATGTTGTCCCACAGCTCCCTTAAACTGTCCTGTTTTTTAATTGTTTTTTCTTTTTGGGTCTTTGATTAAGTGATAGTTTTCTACCCTGTCTTCTGATTTGCTGCTCTGACCCTCACCTTCCTTTAATCTGCTATTTATTCCTTCCAATGTATTCTTTATTTCTGCTATGTCATTCTTCATTTCTTTAATAGTTTCCATATCTTTTTTCATGCTGTTGAGCATCCTCACAATCAGTATTCTGAACTCTATATCTGATAGATTGCTTATCTCCATTTCATTTAGCTTTTTCTGGAGACTTCTATTGTTCTTTCATTTGGGGGTTGTTGGTTTTTTGCCTCCCCATTTTGGCTACCTGTTTGGGTTTGTTTCTATGTATTCCATAGGCCTGCTACGACTCTTGGTCTTTTTGGAGGGTCTCTGGTGCTGGCCAATGTCATATGCAGTTTGTGACTGGCCTTCAGTACCCTCTTTGGAGCTATCAACACCCCTCAGCTTGGGGTCCCCTCTGCTGGGTCTGGGTACAGTTGGACAGAATCAAGATGCACACCAAAGTCTGCTTTTCCAGAAGCAAATCAGGCAAAGACTCAAAGCACTCTGAAGTCTGCTTCTGCCTGAAGGCTGATTAATCTGATTCTCTTAATGAGCCTCAGGCTGTAGAACATCTCCAGGTAGGGTGAGAGATTTTCTAGCAGGGTGGGGCAATTGCTTCCCTGTCCCCAGGCAAAAGCAGCAAATTGCCAGTAAAAGATGTCCTCTGCAGTATGAGGGAATGACTCAGGACAGGAATCCAGAGGGGTGTCTTCTGATCTCAATCTCCAGAGCCCACAACCCTAGATTCTCCTCACATAGCTTCAGTCCACTCTGCCCTCCCTCTCCTGGAGCCCAAGGTGAGTGGCTGCACATGAAACTTTGTGGGTTGGCTCTTTAAGAGGGTGCCTGCAGTTCTAGCCTTCTCTCCCTGGCAGACAGAAACCCTGCAGCTTTACACAGCCAGTTGTTATGTGGGCACCTTTCTCAGCTCTAGTGCTCTTGGCTGGGAAGCCCAGCCTGAGGNAGTTCTAGCCTTCTCTCCCTGGCAGACAGAAACCCTGCAGCTTTACACAGACAGTTGTTATGTGGGCACCTTTCTCAGCTCTAGGGCTCTTGGCTGGGAAGCCCAGCCTGAGGTTTAGACCCCGGAGTCCTCAGTGGGAATCCCCAACAGCTTAGATATCCCTCTGGGCCTTCAGCTGTGGCCTGTGGGAGCTCAGTCAGTCCTCTTGCACCTCCGCACTTCCTTCCAGTCTCCATGTGGTCTCTACTTTAGGTCTTTGCTTATGAGGGTGCTCTCCAGCTTGTCTTCAGTTGCAGTTGATTATTGAGGATCTTTTTTCTATATTTTAGTTGTAATTCCAGTTTAGTCCTAGGAGAGTGTCAGTGTTGCTTCCACTCAGTCTGCTACCAGGTTAATCTCTCCATATTAATACCAACTTAATTGCAATAGCATATGAACATATTTGTCCAATCAAGCTCCATTCTCCCCACCTTTATGCTGTTACTGCCAGAAACTATATCTTTATATATTGAGTACTTATTAATACTGAATTAGAATTTTGATTTTTATCAATCATCATAACCAACGATGATTAGTTGTTAACATTTATAATTTCTCTTTGCTGACATTCTCTATATGAATAGAGAAAAGGAGTTTGTATCTAAGACTATTATTTCTTCTCTGTTATCAGAACTGAGGCATATTTCTGTCGTAGATGAACACCTTTCCCATTCCAAAAGTTTTGACATCTTAACCTTTGTTTCAGGCCTTGGACTTTGTCATGGCGATCCATTCCCGCAGCCTGATTTTTTGGAAAATGTTCTTAAGAACTGATATTTTTTCACTGCTAAAATACTCAATTTTTTGAGTTTCTTTGAGCCAGTCTGTTACTCTGTAGCATGCAATAGGATTTATGTTTCTCCTGCTCACAATCATTCTCATTAATCACTTAGAACTTGGGAAATGGAGGAAACACAAGGTTGCCAATTAATAGTTGAAGAAAGCAAGACTGAAAATTCTACCTTCTCTTTCTTGAGGATCAAAGTTGGTGGAATTCACTACTATAGTTATTGGATTTGGCCTCAAGACTTGATTCATGGTTTTTGTTGCTTTTATATTTTATATACTTTTTCTTTTGGTCATTAATCTTGGTTATGTTGGATTTTACTCCAACAGCTACCCAGCAACTAAGAAAAAATATTTTTGAACTCCCTTTAACATAAACATTTATGATTATAAGCAAAATCATTTATGTTTCTTGTAATTTTAATATTTAACACTTTGTCACAAGTTTATTTAAAGTATGTTTTGAAGATATTCTATGCAATTGCTTTTATGGAGGTAGGGTTAAAATGGGAATTTATGTATCATATAAACAAACAATGGGTATATTAGAGATTAATAGTAGACATATGATGATGACAATGATACACGTGTGATATGATATTACTGAGCTCCTTCAAAGAGTAAGAGGGGTGTGTTGAGAGAACATTGGGTACAGTTTTTTGTTATCAGCTTCACAGTCTCTTCTTGATGGTTAGAGCCAGTAATAGGAAGGGTGTCAAATGAAGAAATGGGCATGTGGGAAAAGTTTATGCTGCCAAGGATCTGCTTCTTTTTTTTATATTTATAGAAGTGATGACTAAAGCTTTAGTCATCTATAAGATGGTATTTTTCTCTAAAGAACATCTCCATCTGCAATTAAAGAAATTCTACACTCATACTATATGGAATAAGATAAAATTGTGAGTGCATTTAAAAATATGTCTGTTATTATCACTAAGTTGGAATTAAAGGTGGAAAACAGATACTGCTATTGGGTGCATTTTGAACACTTTTTTTTTTTTTTGACAAAATACAGAATAATTTAGTGTCATAACACATAACAAATGTCATAGTTTATATTTATAAAACACCCTACTTATTTACAGAACTTATTATTTATTGCAAATTCTACTCTATTATTTATCATAATGCGGAAAATCTGATTTTTGACCAAACTTTTTAAATTAAATATGATTAATTTAAGTAATTTTCTTGACAAATGAAAGTAATTTTTCCTGTATATTCATGAATGCTTTTTAGTAGCTGAATATTTATAAACAATAATTTAGGGCCTGTTGAATACTATTATCATTTGCATTGCTAATAATATTATTTAAACCTAAAACAATATATTCATATGGCTCTTTATGCTTATTTAATTAATCACTTGCTTAACATTTGCTTTACCTGCTGAATATGAAGTAGGAGCAAACTAATGATAGCCCACTTGTATCACCATGATACCATATCTTCATCTAAATTATATTTATATAATAATTCCAGGGAGTGCATTCTCAGAACAATTTTCTGTTATTGCTGGGATTTCAATTATGCATCTGATTGTATCTATAAGTAATCATTAATGCCATTGCTTTCTACTTAATTAGGGTACAATTTTGGAATAAGTCTAGGGAAACAAGTTTTTAAAGTTTCATAATTTAACTATTCTTTCAATGATGTGACTATTAAATTTGATTTCCAGCTCAGCTTTAAAATACCACTGAATAACTTGGGTAGATGTATCATCATGATCATCATCAACATCATTTCTTCATTCTTTTTGACAAATAGTGGCACATCAAATAGAGTAGCAATAAATAATGGCTCCCAGATTACATACTATAACCTTGTCAAGCATTGCAGGAAACCTTTGAAAGCCCAGGAAATGTTCTACATTTATTGTATAGGCTTTTAAACAGTAACTGGCATAGTCTATACTGCAGCATACAGGACAGTATCAGGGCTCGGTAGTGTTTTCCATAATCCTGGGAAAAACTGGGACTATTTAATTCAATTCTTTCTGGAGAAAATCACAGCAAACAATGATCTCCTTTGAATTCATCACTGAATTGCTTATTTTGGTGGGCAGACCTAAGATGATGTTTTCTCTGGATACCATCTCTGCAGAGTTATAACTTTCTACGTTATATAAGATAAATCAGGTTGCGGACTGTAGTCCATAATCGTGCTAAAGGGAATATAATCACAAGTAGTTATTTCAATGGGGAATATAATGAAGTAAAAATATCAGTCAGACCATTTTCAAAAGCAAATGGTGTGGTTAAATGTTTCATTCTTGGGAGAAAAATATATTGATCCAATGTGGATATAAGCCTGAATTACTGCCTGGTGTGTTAGCTAGGTTTTCCAGTGATTACCCTGAATCTAAATGCTGACTCCTGTTTCTAATAGCTCACTTTCTCTCATTGGCCTCCAAAGTGGACTCTCCTTCAAACTTAAGAAGCCGAGTTTTTCTCCCGACAAATAACCTGCATGCTTGTCAGGTATTTGAAAGCACACAGCATTTTCAAAACTTTTCATATTTAGGAACTTCTTTGTTATAATTGTTTGTATGTTAATTATTTTTCACAGGTTACATTTTATTACTTCTCCAGCCATGTTAGTGGCAAATTAACAGCTGGCCTTCAGACTATGTGTGGTGGGCCTGTCCAATCTTTATGGCAAAACACAGCTGGGCCCCAAAATCGGTGGGAGAGAAACATCCTCAAAATCCAGTGCTCCCAGAAATTTCAGGTATGGGTGTTATATTTTCTAACTATGTTTTTGAAGGGAAGATGATAGGATACAGATTTTAATACCAGGAGAATTAAACGTGGGATGGCTAACTGTCCCTGTTGGCAGGACTGAGTGATTTGCCAGGGCTTGCAAGAGCTGAAACCAAATAGTCCCAGGAAATTGGGTTGTCTCCTATCCCCAAAATACACGTAAAAAAGGCTTTGGATTTATGTATCAAAACTGAGGTTGAGTGAAGGAAACAAGATGGCGGTGTAGGTAATAGCTCCACCCGCCGCCTCCCGCAGCCACATCAAAATTACAACTGAAATACAGAACTACCATCACTCAGAGCCTCCTGAAATCTGGCTGAACAGAAGCCCTACAACTAGGGAGCTGATGAAGCACTGAAACCGGTAGGAGGGGGGGAGATGCGGGCGGATCCGGGCTGAATAACAGAGATGCGCCCAGGGGCCCATACCTGGTGCCGCAGTTGTAACCTGGGAGGGAATCTCGGCGGTGGGGGTTTCCGGGAGGAGTGAGGGGTCGCAGCCCCACAGCAGGCCCCTAGCCTAGGGCTCCAGGGCCGGGAAGAAATGTCCCTACAGCTTTGGGCTGTGAAACCAGCGGGGACTATGGCTGAGGGTTGCGGAGGCTGTGCAAGCCCCAGCAGCTCCTCTCAAAGGGACCCCGCACGGACTCAGATGCACTCCCTCTGAGCCCCAGTGCCGGGCAGCAGCTTGAAAGGAACCTGGGACACTTGGGGAGGAACTAACCTGCCTGAAATCTGGGTGAGAGCTGGAGGGGCAGCTTTCTCCCAGCAGAAGAGCTGGCAGAGGCCATTGCTCCTTGGAGAGTCCTCCCCGCACAGAGCTGGCAGGCAGGCACCATGTTTGAATCGCCAGCACCTGACTCACCCCTCTGGCCCCGCCCATGATTCCCGGAGGCCCTGCCCCTCCCCACCTGCAGCTCATCCAGGCCATTTCCAGGGGCTTTTCTGTACAAGTGTCCTCTTGAGCCTCATGCTTAGGACTTTCCTAAAAATCTCTCAAACAAGCAGCAGCATGTCCCATATGGCTTGATAAGTGGTCTCAGGCCTGGCATTAGTGGCAGCCTGCATTAGCTCATAGCTTGGCCTCTCCTGGACATCTCTAAGCCAGCACAAGTAGCAGCCAACTGCGGTTTGCTGTGTAGCTCATGCTGGGTGGCCCTGGGCAAGGCACTGGCAAAGGCTGACTTTGCACCTCCTGAGAGGCCCCAGAGACAGTGCACCTGGTGGTCAGACTCGACCAC